TGGTGGTGGTGATAGTGATAGTGGTGCTCGTGGTAATGATGGTGTTGATTGTGATGGTGTTGATGGTAGTGATGCGTTGATGATGATGGTAGTAGTGGTGGTGGTTTTGGTAGTGATAGTGGTGCTGGTAGTGATGATGGTGTTGGTGGTGCTGGTGGTGATGATGATGTTGAAGGTGGGGATGGTGGTGTCGGTGGTGATAGTGGTGATGATGTTGGTTCTTGATGAAGGTGGTGATGGTGAGGATGGTGATGATGGTGTGAATGGTGATGATGGGGTTGGTGGTGGGGATGGTGTTGATGGTTGGGATGGTGGTGACTGTAGCAATGGCATTGATAGTGGTGATTTGCGGTGGTGATAGTGCTAATGGTGATGACATGAAGGTGGTATGATGGTGATGATGATAATGGCGGGAATGATGTTGGTGGTGTTGATAGTGTGATGGTGTTGTTGGAAATGATGGTGGTGATGGTGGTGATGATGTTCATGGTGACGGTGATGGTGGTGGTGGTGTTGGTAGAGATAGCGGTGCTGGTGGTAATGGTGGTGATGGTGTTGATTGGCGATGGTGGTCATGGTGCATGGTGATGTAGCAGTGGTGGTGCTGGTAGTGGTAGTGGTGCTGGTGATAATGGTGGTAATGGTGGTGATGGTGGTGATGGTGTTGATAGCAGTGATGGTCGGTGATAGTGTTGATGGTGTTGAATGGTGTTTATGGCGTTGATAGTGTTGAATGGTGTTGATGGCGTTGATGGTGTTGATGGTGTTGATGGTGTTGAACGGTGTTGATAGTGTTGATGGTGTCGAATGGTGCAGAAACTGACGATCTACTTACACCCTCTCCTTCTTGCTTAAGTTCCACTCTTACCTACCCTTACCAACTCTGCTTCTTCCCGTATTGAAGTGGAACGCCAACCCATCCCATCACACATACGTACACATGCACGCAGATCTCTTTCCGTTGTATTCCCGAACAGGTCGTAATCACCCGTCGTCGTGTCTAATGTCGGCTTGTTTCACCGTGCTCCCAAAAGCCTGATCGACATAGAGACTGGACTGCTGCTGCTGGGGGCTGCTAGGGGCTGGTATGCTGAGTGAAACCGCCCTAGGACCGGTTTCTAGGCGGCATTCCTGAAATGGCGCATGTCTCCTCTGCAGCATAAGCTGTTTAGGGCCCACTTACTCTCTTCATCTTCACTATCCTCTCTGTCAT